AAACTTTTTAATTTTTTTATCTTTATTTAGGTAGGAACTGACTTTTAAGTTATAAGCGATGTTTTTGGAAATTATCAGTTTAGTCCAGTGTTAAGAACCTTTTTGATATCACGGAACACCAAACAATAATATTTTTTTCATGTGGAATCCCTTTGGAAATTATCTTTAAAGTACCGACCGTCAGCGATCTCTATCTCTTGCGATTTTAAACTTTTGTGGAACTTTCGCGGAACACAGGTTAAGAAACACTGAACTTTAATCTATCGAATTAAAATAAAATACTAATTATAGCTTAAATATAATCTAACATGAACTAGCATGAAAAATAGATTTATTTTTTCATACAATGATTGGTCATTGAATTCAGATTCATCTCTGTTACAGTGATTTTCTTAATTATGAGGTACAYTGTACACTAAAAAACTACAATTCAGCATACCGATTTCTCCGATTTCCCCAATTTTTTTTTTCATGTCTTATCAAACAACATAAACCTAAAATTACGGTATTTTTATCGGCAATCCAATATTTACTTTATAGAMAAAAATAATAGTTTACTATATAAATACTACCTATTATACAAATTTTACAGTTTAAAAWGCTGTAAATAAATTATCATAACAAATAAGCGAAGTGCAAAATAAATCAATATGAAATCATAATCATAAAATATTTACATTAATCGTTGCAATCAATTGTACTTGATTTGGTATGTTGTAAATTATATAGTACCTAGCTAACTAATAAAAAGCTGAATGAATATCCTTATAAAAAAAACTAGTGCTTAATTTATATATTATCACGTAAAAATACCTTCCAACTATTTTAGTATTTCACCAAAACTATTACTATCTTTTTGCAGGAAATTTTTTATTATGTTACGTACTATTTATATTATTTGATGAATGATACTAAAAAGGTTTTATAGAAGAAAAAATATTACAAGCTCTAAGATTTTGAGATAAATCGTTAATTTTTTTCTTTCTATAATTCTTATTTTATTATTATTTTTAATAGTAAATACTTAGTAAGGAATTGCGTAATTTTGAAATATCACGGGTATCTATATTTTTTCTCGTTTAGAATTTTTTTTAAATACCTTTTAAACGATTGAGATTAGGTCGTGTAATAGCCAAAATTTCTGAAATTAGATATTTTGAATTTGAATATTTGGTTATTTAATCTTATATATTTTTCAAAGTCAATATTATATCTATGCAAAATAAGAACTTACCTAGTAATTTAATTTATGTATGTTTATCACCTATATCCAAATTAAAATTGTTTTTCAAGATTTTGTACAGAACAATACAAACATTTTAGAAATAATACAATATTTGTGAAGCGCTTTTTCATTAATAATAATGTTAACATGTAAACCTATCAATATTGTTCATAAGCAAACATTTAATCTTATTTATGTAATTATATTTAAGATACACAATTTCTCCTACGTCTTGTATAGGAAACCTACCAATTAACTATACTTACTAGTGTTGGGCGATTTTGTATCAGCAATTATTATTTGTTTGGTTTTCTATAAGACTAGGTACCTATGTTTCTTATATCATGGATAGAATACACATTAGAACTTTACCGATGTGCTTGTCTAAACATTTGGAATATCACTCAAAAATTGAACTTTTATGTTATTTAACTATCTAACATAAAATAACACTGGTGATCTACCACAGCTGTGTGTTTTTTCYAAATAATTCGTTGTATCACGTTTAACAAATACCGGCTAAATTCCAATATTTATGGCGTTAATACAATTTTATTACAAGGTGTTTTAAAAATTATTTTAGCTAACTAAATGTTGTGTTGTCTGATCAGTATAGCTAGTAAGCATCGTATTATTGTGTGGTTGTTTATTTATTGGTTTGACACCTAGAAGGATCGAAAAAAGCTGTACAGTACTATCAAGGATATAATATAATTTTGATATTAATTTCTAAAACACCGTTTATATTCTTAGGTAAATTTCCTCATTCATTATTTAAATTTTTATATGAACATTGACTAATTTTTTGTAAAACGAGTTAGTCGTACCTCTACTCGGSGTAGGCATATTTATAAAAAGTTCAAAATTAAACAAGATAATCTATAAGTATTAAGTACAACCTAATTTATAACTTACTAATTAATTCAACACAATACATATTTTTGCAGACGCTCGTTTGTTTAAAATATCATCATTTCACAATAATCCATAATATAACGCACCCAAATAATATATAAGGTGTTTAAAATTTGGAAACGATTTAATTAATGTTTGTATATTTTTATACCTACATAATAAAGTTTAGTAATAACAAATAACATATAACACTGCTACACCTTTGTTAGGTAAAATATTTAATCATCTCCTTAATTAACAATTATAGCATATTATTGCTTATCAGTCCTAATTAGTCAAATTATTGCTTCTAAACTTTTTAAACACTGTATAATATAATAAAACGTAAAAAAAAAACTAGGTGACGATTAATAATTTTAAATCTGTTCAAATTTTTGTTCGTATCTTAACCAGGGACAATATTGTCAATAATTGACTTCTACATTTTGTACAGAATTAACCATGGCCATGTTAAATATTGTATACGGATTAGATGGAGTAAATATTTTAAACTTAGAAAATGAATAAATTTAGAATAACTGATTAAAGCATACCGTCAACTCGAGAAAATATAATTATATGAAAAGAATTGTTTAATTATCATAGGATATGATATGCATTGATAGAGCTTATAAAATAATTTTTTATTTTAATTCAAACGGCACTCCAATGAAATTTAGGTTTTTAATATATTATACTCCTATGTACAAAAGAAATCTTGCTTAATATTTCCAATAATAAACAGTGAGGCTTTATTATAAAATTAAAGTGTAATAAGAAATAAATTTAACTCTATTCCATACAAAATACCACTGTAATAGAATTAATGTACATCTTTCTTTTTTAAATAATTGTTGGAGATACTGAGGAATTTGTGAAACACTATAGTCTTGTTTTAATAATAATAATAATAATAATAATTTAGAATACAAGTAGACAATGTTAATAAAATTGTTTTAAATTAAATTTTCTAAAACAAAAATACAAGGTTATCATAAATTATGGTTAGTACGTAGGTGTAGACTTTTTGGTATAAAAGTATGACTTAATGCATGATCATAACTAAAAATAAATACGTATGTATAACAATTAATTTATTTATATAAAAAAAATATAATTTTTTATAGTTCATCTACTAACAAGGATCAGTATATAATAAATAAATAATTTGTATTCGTATTCGTAATAAAAAAAAGTTGATGATAATATTTCAAATATAAATATGTGTCGATAAGCAAAAGAAACGTGAAATATAGTGATATTATAATATATTTTAATTTTGTTCAACGATTAAGTCAATGATTGTAAAATTGTTCTACGGTGCAGTGATGGAAATCATTTTAAAACACGAGTTAATATGTATTATACAAATTGCGTGATAAATTTTGCGTTCTATTTCTTACCTCCGTTATAAAAATCGAAATCTTCAGCATTCATTAGCTGGTTCTGATGACCTGTAGGTACACCAAAAATTTAGTTTTTTTTTAACTTTTAGTTTTATCATTT